CTCCCGGGGAGATAGTCTCGATCTCCACGCCCATCGTGGTCCCACAGGCCCCTCCTCCAGGGGGGTCCCAGCAGTCGCCCCGACCCCGGCTCGCCAAAGCCCCCGGCCCGCCGGTCTCTCGCGCTCGCCTCCCGCCGCCACTGCAGAGCCGGAGGAGGTGCGGCTGGAGCCGGGACCCGCGCTGGGAGGGGCCACGCGGAAGGGGGCGGCGGGGCGGAGCCGCGGCAAAGGTGGGGTCCGCCGGGGTGGGGCCCGGGGGAAGCGACCCTGACGTGGCTCCTCTGGAGCCTGGGCTGGCTAAAGATCCTCAACCCCCAGGAGAGAAGGGGGAGGGCGGCACTGAAGCACTCTAGCATGCACCCACCCATCCATCCACCCATCCATCCATCCATCCATCCATCCATCCATCCATCCATCCATCCATCCATCCATCCCTCTTTCCATTGAATACATATTTATTTAGCACCTACTCTGTGCTGAACTCTGGAGCGTCTACCCTGTCTCACAGACTAAAGGGTAAACGAGAAATTAAAAAAAATAATTAGATGTACTCAGTGTCTTAAAGTTTAGAATGCTTTGGAAGTGTCAGAGAGGTACCTGGGAGGGTGGGAGTGGGGGGTCAAAGACGACTTTCTGAATCTATAGAGTGAGAATAAAGGGGAGAGACACCCTTACACCTCTATTGGCTTTTCTGTGTCATTTAGTGGCATTTACGTTTTTCCACTTTTCCAGGCCAAGGGCCACGCCCTGGGGGCGGATTGGGCGGGTGAGGAGATGCCAATTGAATCAAAGTAGGATTGGTGTCTTTAAGAAACTAAAACCGTAAATCAGTCCAAAAGCTGTGATTTTAGTGAATTCTACCTTGAGTTCCTTCTCCACAATGGACCTTCACTTTCACGCAGAGATCCAGGAATCTGGAAAGATTTTGATTTTTTTTTTTTTTATTTTTAGGAGGTAACGGTTGTCTTAAAAGTATGACAGAGATTTTTAAAACTTTCCCACTCTAAAAAAAAAACAAAAAAAAAAACCCAAAAAACAACCAAACAAATCTTTCCCACTCTCATTATCTCCTTCATTGCTCCAAAATTTGGTGTGAGGGAACATATGGCTCTGATAGATGGCGCTGGGAGGTGGGCGTATGGAGAAAGGGCAGAGATGTTCAGAGTGGGCCCTAGAAACCTTCCTTGGTTTTGCTCCACACTTCTCCAGACACCCGATTTCCAAGTGGTTAAATCAGACCTCTAATAATGACCAGCATCACTGAAGGAGAACTAGTTGTGTTGTTTAAGCTAAAGTGTGCGGATAGTTCAACTTTTCTGTGGGCATCTGAACCTGTAATGCCTTTGGAGTTGCTTTAAGTTTTAATTGAGAGCCTCCCAAGGGTGTAAATGATCTAAGGAAGCTTGGTAAGAATTTAGGCGAATAGAGACGTACAACTGAACAGGCTTTTTTAAATACACCATACAAAAGTAAGAACTTTCATCGGTGGAGATTTTATTAGATATTAACGGAGTCCCGATTTTTACCTAAAGGGGGAGAAGGTATGATGTCGACAATAGTATAGGAAGGCTTTTTATACTAAGAAAAATTACTTGTGGAGAAAGGCGCTGCGAGTCGGAGAAATCATGACTGGTTCACTGTTGGCAGTTGACTTTCATGAAGACTACAACTCCCAGAGAGCTTTACGTCCAAGTCCAAGATGATTGGCTGATGGGCTGGAGCGTTTCCAAACGTGACATCGCAATCGCCAATAGGAATCAGGTATTGTAGAAGCGGTCCGGCCGCCGCTCAAGTCCCGGCGCACTGGGAACTGACATTTCCGGTATCTGCTCCTTGATCTGGTGAGCTGGGGCGACCCTGGGGAGGCTGATTTTCTGTAGAGCAGGGAAACCAAAGGTATTTTGTCTCCACGGACTCCCGTGTAGCCAGTGTGGGGAAGCTGTGAACGGGCTGGGATAGATATAGAAAGGCCAGCGAGTGAGGAGAAAATGGGGTGATGGAAGGGGACCACTTGGGGAGGGGCGGGAGGATGTGATCTGAACTTTGGGTGGATTTAAACGAATCTGTGTATTTCCTGTGACTCACAAATGTTACTTTGGGTAATATATGAGAATACTAAGAAGTCGTCCAAAAGTTAAGAACACGCTTGATGCGAAAAGACTTTTCTCAAACTGCTACCTAGTAATCGGATAAAGTTGGCTGCAAGGAGCTCACGTGACACAGGGGTTAAATCTCTGCTGCTAACAGAATTGTGGGCTGTTCGTACCCACCAGCCCCTTTGTGTGAAAGATTGCAGCCTTAAAAACCCTTTGGGGCACTTGATGAAGAGTCACTGGAGTTCGACATGGTGGGAATCGACGCCGCTATTGCCAATGCTTTTCGTCGCATTCTGTTAGCTGAGGTATTGACGGGGTGGGGTTAGCTTGCATGAGGAGCCACTTGTTGATTTAAGCATTTCAGATGATCTTTTGTTTTTTTCCTATGAATCTTGCTGGGCTATCTATCCCTTCTTTGTAAACGTCCTATCAAGCGTTTTCTCTTAGAGCTCTGTCTAGGGATGGAAGAGCCAATTGCCATAGGTGATTGCTTCCTTGGGTAAGTGCCAACCATGGCTGTAGAAAAGGAGTGCATTTTTTTAAAAAAACAAAACAACCAAACTTTTTTTTACCCTTCCCCAATTAAGCTAAAGAAAATGAAAATTATTTTAAGTAAAATTTTAATAAATTTAGGAGCTTAGTAAAACAAGTAGGGTTATATACCTGTTAAAACCTCAAATTTGCTTAAGTCCTTGAATTTCACTGTGTGTTTGGAAAAAGATTTTAAAAAATAATTTAAAAAAAGGAAAGGAAAATATTAAAACCACGAATTAAGTATGTTAGTTGCTGAGCACCAGATCATAGTTCTGATCAGCTTTTTCCTGGGAGTCTTTTCTCTCTTTAAAAAACCGTAACTTCTTAGTTGCAAGAAGCTGCACTACAATACCAGAGGGTCACGGTTCGAATCCACCAGATGCTCTGCCGGGGAAGGAGGGACAATCTCTTCCTGTACCAGTCAGATCTGATTTGACGGTACACACAAATAATAAAATAAAAATTTAAAAAATGAAAAAATTAAAAAAAAAAAAAACAACCCAACAACCGTGACTTCTGTAGCGTGTAAGCCACGTAACTAGACTTTGTGGGGAATTAAAAAAAAAAATAATAAGACAAGACTTCTGATTTTACACTGTTTTTGTAGTCTGGAGTTTGAGAGATAGTAGCTTCATGCAAAATGTATATTTTTTAAAAAAAAATAAGAAGAATGGAGAAAATCTTGAAAATTGTTTTAGCTTTGGTCCCCTCGTTCTCTTACTTTTCACAAGGAGCTTTCGTGGCTTAAACACCCAGCCCTATGCCAAAACCAACTAACCAACCCATGCTGTTTACTCTTAGTGACAGCAACTGAGAGTTTTAACCCTGAGAGTTCCTTAACCCTATTAGGTTGTTGTGCGCCCTGGAGTGGGAACCTACTCCTAGATGACCCTGTAATGGTTTTTGAGAGGTTGTAAATCTAAATTGCATGAGAGAAGATTGGCCGGATTTCTCCAGAGGAGCTGGTGGATTAGAACCACTGGGCCACCATCACTCTCTCCCTAATCCTATGACAAAACCAAATTCACTGCCACTTAGGGGCCCACCATTGGATTCCTAAGGCTGCAGATCTTAATGGGAGGAGATTGCCTTGTCTTTTTCCCCTGGAGTGGCTGGTAGGTTTGAATGGCTAGCATTTTTTAGCAACCCAACACTTAACCTTCTACACCACCCAGGCTTCTTATACAAATCAGTCCCAGATCCTTACCTCTGATTCACTAAGTGCGGTCTGGTGGGCGTTGTGCTACTAGTCCAAAAGGTGCACCTCTCTTCCACCTGCAGTTTTACAGGAGGAAGATGGCCCGTCTCTTCCTGTGCAATTTACAGCCTCTGAAAACTCACCGGATGGTCAGTGATGAGTTAGTTCTAACTTAATAGCAGTGAAAGAGAGAACTGCCTGAGATACATTGCTGCCTCAAAAACTTCTTAATTGACACATATCTAGATATTATACTCAGCATACACTACATAGCTATCTTAACTTGAAAGAATATTCTGCTTTTATCTCTGGTTAATCGTTTAGCAGTTTTCCAAAATAAAAATCTGCCATGTTGTTTTTTTTTTAATTTTTTTTTTATTGGGAAAAACATATTGGGGGTACAAGGAGGTGAGGGTTGGGGGCAGAAGGGTGAGGATGGGCCAGTATGCAGTTGCAAAGCTGCACAGTTTGGTCGGTGGGGGGAGCAGGTGAAGGAAATGATGAGGGTCCAGTGGGGATCAGATGCTGCAGAGGAATGACAAGCGTTTTCCAATAGTAATTAAACCAACTGTCTTACTGATTTGGGAATTGGATGCCGACTCTCTGGCTTCTTCATGCTGAACAGGGGCGTAGATATAAAGGGGGGAAGGGAGGACGCTTTATCACCTTACTGGTGGTCTTGGGTTACAGCTGCTTGCCTTCTTGCTCCTGAGGGCTGCTACGGTTCGCCCCGAGCCGGGGGCCAAGCACAGCCCGGCCCGGGCAGAAGGCCACGACAGCTCGCCCCGGGCAGAGGGCCGCAACAGCTCACCCCGGGCCAGGGGTCGAGGGCAGCCCGCCCCGGGCAGAGGGCCGCGACGGCTCGCCCCAGGCCGGGGGCCGAGGGCAGCCTGCCCCGGGCAGAGGGCCGCGATGGCTGAAGTAGTCTTTTTTTAAAAAAGAAGAAGAAAAAGAGTGTGTGTGTGTGTGTGTGTGTGTGTACCGTCAAATTGGATCTGACTGGTACAGGAGACTGCTCCTCCTTCTCCAGCAGAGCATGAAGTAGAG